ACAGCGAGAGAGGGCGTACGCGCCAATAGCGCACCAATTGCGCCGCGAGGAAGGCCATGCTAGATCGCCGGGGCATATCCTTCGATGCGAATTGCGTGTCGGTCCGCACCCTTAGGAGGTCCGCCTGTCTCTCCACTAGGTAAGTTCCCTTCTTCGACCTTCATCTTTATTGTGGAATCCTCCTTCAAAGTGATTGAAGGAAGGCAGTGGCGCAGCTAACGTTTGCATCAAAAAGTAAGTCAATAATGAGACTAAAAACAAAAAGGAATAAGTGAAGAATAAAAAAATGTAGTGCGAAAAAGAACCAATGAAAGCTAAAAAAAACCACCACACTGCATATTGCAGAAACGGTGTCCTATCTCAAGAGAAAATTAATGAAGCGGCCTACAGGAATTTCCCGCTATTCTTAGCAGCTGAAATGCAGTGAAAACCTTAGAAGAGTACTTTCAATGAGATTACTAACAATTTTCAATAAAAACTCTTCAGCAGTTCTCAGTTAAGGAAAAACTTTGTACTCCGGAGGCTTTTCCATCTCATTTCACTTATCCGCATTCCAAGTACCACTGGCTACGCCAATGGAAGGGCAATATTCTAAATTATCACCGTCTTATAAAAAACCCCCTTTGCCGTTACGAGCAAGGTAAGCGTAAGCCCTGCCAGCCAGGATGTATGACACTTTTAATCCGGATCAGTCCAATCCATCTTAGTCCGCGAAAAATGCTGACATGCCCTTTCCATGGATTCCATTAAATTTATTAAAATCAGAATCCAAGGCAGTGCACGCAATCTCCCATCACTCTTCCTTTGTTTATACCTAATCAAGCGCTGAACATCACGTCATCTCATTCATCGCATGGCTCACTTCATGACTTTGGGCAGCAAACACGCAAGTCGAAGGAATTTCTGCAGCAGCAGTGAAGAATAAAAGGGCATATATAAAAGCAATATCATTGTCTGATCAGCCACGCATTGACTTCATTCAGAGTTCATGCTGTATACTGAATGGTGCGGCTGGGTCAATATCCACGGGCAACATCCCATGAAGACAGTCTCTAGTTCTACCCAGAAAAGTGGGATAGCATTTCTCTCTTCAGGTTGGTCTAATACAAGTCTGTGTACACCACACAGGCCGGGTAACAGGGGACCAACCCAAAAAATGAGACATTGTTTATCGTGAAAGGGTGTGCGGACAGGAAATAGGTAGCAGTGCCTGCCGTAAATTCGTCCACGTCATTATTTGATATTGTATGTATTCGTCCTCACAATCAGACATCGCCCGAGCCGATTCACAAACAGAAGTACAACACCTCTGTAACCACATCAGCTCGTTGTAATGTGTAGTTGAACAATTGAGTTTTTCATGCGCGTTGGATGCACTGACTGGGCACGCTGCTCAGCCAGGTTTGGCAACAGATTCAGTAAGAAGGGTTTTCACGTTGAGTTTCACCAAAGAAATCGTACTCAAAGACGAAGATCAATTATATTCCTTCCGTACCTGCATGCAGACACATCTGAGAAGAAAACTACTATGAATTCGATTAAAAGGATTCTAGCTTTGTTGAATTTTGACTGATTCCCATCACCTTCAGAGATATGAACGTGATTTCTAGGTTGTAAGTAATCATAATATTAGGCTAGTTGCAGAAAATTGAAATCAATTAATCAGTCGAAAATTGAACAACATCTCTTTCTACGCCAAAAGGAAAACGAAAGCCGAACAAATCTTAGCCCAATCAACACAAATGACGACCTAAATATACGACTTAAAAAATAGAGTATCCAGAACAATTCAGTCTGTCGCGTTGCGCCACACATTCGACTTCCTCAAAGTATCGCAGAGCTATTTGAAAGCGCGTCAAGCCGATTTTAGAGCGAGAGGCCGATCTATGCCTACATCTTGAGTTCTTTAGTATATTTTATTTCATGTTTTCTTCTATTATGAACTATTATTACGTTCAAGGTTTGTGATTTTACTTACAATATTTTATTTAATTTCATACTGATAGCAGTACTTTACTTCATTCTATTCTTGGATTGGAGCTTGGGTAATCCAAGTTATAGTCTGGTCTCCGTTTCGCACGTGCGTTAGACGGACACCTAGACGAATTGCTATAACCTTCCTCTTGTGCTCATCAGTTAGGAAGGAGGGAAAGTGTTTCAATTCCGTAAGTCATTCGTGAGAAAATGTTGTAAAAGACAAAGGAAAAATGTGAGAAACACCACACACGAATGCTCTCTTCAGAGCAATCGATCTACAAGGTAGGACGGTGTCATCTACCAGACCCGTTGGCGCGGCACGGGGAGTCCAGCTACTGAATCAGCATCACACAGAAAGTTTCTAGAGCTTCAGCTTCAGAGATTCTGTTCGGCGCCAGAATGAAGTGTCATACAACGAAAAGCCACCAACTCTTCAAACCCAGAAATACATATCCAACGAAAGAGGTGGCTCACTTCTGATGGTAAGAAACATGGCATCCTTCGCATGTGAGCATCGAATTCGTGGCACTTCCAGTCTTCTCACCACATTTTTTGCATGGCTAAAATCAGATAGAAGAAAATACTTACAGACAGCCAGTCGAAATATTTTTAAAGCTATGATATCTAAAGTTGAAATCCGATTTTAAAACTTCCTCATGTACAAAACAATCAATAAATATTACGACATCCGCTCCAAAGAGCAGATGTAGAAAACACTGCAACAGCCACAAAACATTACTGCAAATGACGCCATGACTTCCTTTTGACTTTATATCCACTAATTTCCGTTTTTTATTACTCGGCATTATTGGGAACAAACTTGCTATTTTCGTCATAAACCCTGAAGAATTTGTAATAGCATGATGACGTCGCGCTCTATTCAACATCTCTAACAAAGGGGGTCTTTCAGGACATAAAGCGTTTTTTCAAAATGGTTGACGGACTACTTGAACCCGGTCCTTTAAGCCGCCTCAGATCCATCTCTCGTCTGCGCTCTCTCACCTTATCAGCGGCTCATGGCCATTGTGATCACACACATTCAAACTTTTGCCACACTGTAGTTGGCTCACCCACCTCGAAGTCCCTCCCTCCTACAAGGCTTAGTCCTAGGCTCTCATCTCCTTCCGATTGTGTCACTCGAAACCAGCCCGTTCTCTAACCTGTCTGTTGCTTCCGGCCATTGTGCAGACCATGGAAAGAAAGTCAAGTATTCCATTGAAACCATCTTCAATGCAAGACACCATTAACTCCCTTTTTCACCCTTGAATTACCAGTCATTAGAGAAGCTCTACTCCACTATTACTTGGCGTCTCGAATCTCAATGAATTAGAGAAGTTGAAAGTACTAATCTATGCTCGCATCCAATCAATAATCTACATTGCTGCAGCTATTACGCCTATTTATTTCGACGCTAATAAGTTTACTCAGAGTGACCCGTCATTTCCAAACCTTAATTTAATGAGCAGCTCATTCGTTTCCCCCTCCGACTTGTTGGCCCACAACAGACAACAACTGCACAAACTTCGTTATGAAGAAAAATTAGAACAAGCCCCATTTCTCGTACTGCCTAATTGTCAAGCTTGTGATGAGCGTTTACCTTACCCTCTGCTCCCTCGTGCTGGTCGCTACCGAACAACAACAGTACGAATTCAATTAAAGTGGAGCAAATTGAAAATAGTTTTTTTTTGCTCATACGATTTAATTATGAGACTCTATACTAAATCCACCTTTCATCTAGTTTTTGCATCATCCGAATCAGAGTCGTCAGAGCGACGAGCACCCAGTAACACTATAGGTCCTTTCCGTTTCTTCTCTGGTACTGGGGGTGGATCGACCTTCAAAGGAGGAAGTGAGATATGAAGGTCAAATAAATCCTATTGAGATGAATGAAAAGAAACTTCCACCCAGTTTCCCGTTCAAGAAAACTTCAAACTGCACCTTTGCTTTTGCTGGGCCACGTTTTTCGGCAGACGGCACCGTGTCCAAATGGATGATTCGAGGCCTTTCTACTGCAGCCTTCTTGATCTGAATACCTCTAATCTCGGACGCAGACGTCGTGGTGGACAATGATGATGATGGCGCATCAACACTGGATATCTCATCGCCACTGTCCCAGAACTCATCCGAAGGGGTGAGTTTCGCAGCGCTCACCTTAATGGCGAACGTTTGAAAACTCAACAGCCTAAACTTAGCGGCACCAATTTGTTCCTTTCCGAACCCCAAATTTGATAATGCCGGGTTAAACTGGCAGTTAATCCAAACAGCTAACTGCTGCTAGGGCATAAAATGAAGGTTAAGAAAACATTAAAGCCCTCGACAGAAAAAAATTTATGCGAACTGAACCCTAGCAAAACCCACTATTTTCACGCATTCCTTCAACTCTTTCACTGCGCTCGGCTCCTTCGATAGTAGCAACTTGGTAATTTTGCTGTAGAAACCTTCACCAAACGGACATGAACTGGTGGTCTTCTTCTTTAGGCTGGACGCCATCGTAACGCCGCTGATCACTCGAATACCTCCAAAGGATTTGAGTGCTAAGAGCTCCACTCTATTTCAGCGAAAACCTAATGAAATCGATTTGATCTTTCCACGAAAAGGAACATCAAATTCTCGAAATTACTTGAGACTCAAGCAAAGCTAACATAGCTCAAACAGACACATGGAAAATACTTCGTCAAAGTTTATTTCAAAGGTACAGTCTTACAAATCGGGATTTCATGACGCAGATAAAAAAACACGTTGGTGAGAAATTAAAGTGCTAGTTATGAGACCGTCAGTAAAACCGAAATAGCGCCATTTCAAGCATAAACCTATGTGAGAACGATTAGAAATCTACAGGTGACAATACTACATCGATAACGTGCATCGAAAGCAATACTCCAGGCTGGGTGAACAGTTGAATAAAGCTCGAATTTTAAACTGTTCAGTGAAAGTTGCAAATTAAAAAATCTCAAAGGGGGATGCTAACTCATCGCTTCCCTTTCTCCACTTGGATTAATTTTCTTAGATTTAATTTTAAGTGAGCGTCATCTGACAGTAAGTGAAATTCAAAGCACTCAAGTGAAAAATGTTATGAGCATATACGATGGGCAAGCGAACCACTCTTAAAAAGACCGTATTGGTTATTCTATGCTAGAAAAAAAAACAAATCACATAGGCCATGCGTTGACAAGACAAATAAATGTATCTACAGCGAACTTTCATCATATAAGTGAAATCATCAACTGAAATCCAACACCTTCTTCACTTTGCTGTCTCCATGATCGTCTGATGAATGAGATGTCTGAAAAAATGGTGAAAAAACGAAATGAGAAAGAGTAAGTGTTAATCTTCAACTCCAAGGATACGAAAAAACGATGCACACGCACCTTTCCTCGAGTCAATTCTTCCAATCGTCGTGCCATTGTGTTGGGAGTATTATTCTGTAGTTCTTTGGCAATAGCCAGATAGTCTAACTTCGGACCACACTGGCTGGCATCCATTGAGTCGCTTGACACAGGAGAAGATTGCCGCCCAGCTGCAAAGAGAATAATGCATGCTAAAGCCATAGGCGACAAAATTAGCAAAAAAAAATCTGGAAACAGTACAAATAATGGTTTTCCACGAACGTAAGTATTCAAAAAAGTAAGCCAACGGAGGTAAGAAATGTGAAAAGAGATAGATGGGAAAATGTGAGAAAACAGGAATCGAAAATGAAATTGGAAGACTGGAAGCATGTGCCAGTTTCACGGTCTCCTAAAGCCTCGCATTGAGCAGAAGGTATAATCATGTAAAGTGATGGCTATCTGTTGACTACGAAAACAAAAGAATCGATCACTTACAACAAAAAAAAACGCAACAATAACAAATAGAAATTCTAAAAATAAACGAAAACCCACTCAAATATGGATGCTCCAACAATTCGTTAATGTCAGCTCGTTGATGAACATCACGAACAAGACATCGCTAAAGGAAAATTTGCGTAACCGATGATTTTGGTCTAATTTATTCAGTCCAATTTACAAATAAACTTAATTTGTTCAGCCCAATTCAAAGACATGCCTTCAGGACATCAACCAGCAGAGAATCACCACAATTGGGAAAATCTATCACATAGTCCGGGTTACATATGGCAGCCATCTAAAGACAATTCATAAGATACGAAACAAGAAATCCAAGGTTCTATAAAAGGTAAGTGGCACCAACCTTAGCCCCTTGACTTTTCATTGTAAAAGGGAGACGACCGTAGACTAAATTGTAGAGTATACATCCCAACGACCAGACGTCTGCCTTCAGCGGAATCTTAATAATAAAAAAATTTCTACTGCATTTAACCAGTGGTCATAACAGGCAGGGGAACTTCAAAGAAGCGAATGGTATGATGCGGCACTCGAATGTGATCAAAAATTACTTGCAGAGGCCAGGCGATGTTAGAGACAATGATTTCATCCGTCGCGAACTAACTGACCAAGGAAGGGTACGGGGCTGGTATGGCCTGCGAACGAGATGTGGATTGAGTGAAAAAGATTAAAGAACAGCAGAGGTTTGAAGATTAGAAACTTCGCTGGCTTAAGATTGGAGTGAGAACTACCTCCACATACCGCAGCTACAATTTTGATAATGGATAGCACAAAATGGAAAGTTGCAACTCCCCTAAAAATAAGAGCTACCCTTTAAGGCAGGAGGCAGTGGTTTTAATTCATTCAGGATTCAGAGAATTTCGGAAGGGAAAATCATAGACATAAACTTCCACTGAATACCTTGAACTTCCCGTCTCCATTTCCTCCTTGCAAAACTTCAGGCGCCATGTAACTCAATGTGCCCATTTGGCTCTCTTTTAAAGCAGCTGTCTGGAACAAGAAAAAAATGTACAGAGTGCTTAAAGTCTAAAATTCTAATTGAGAGAATGCAAGCACACAATTGTAATACCATGTCGTTTGGAATTCCTGAAGCAATTCCAAAATCAATTAACTTCGCAGTACCCTTTACGAGGAGAAAATTCGCAGGCTTCAAATCTGAGTGAACGATTTCTGAAACAAAGGTGACGTTGACAACAAAAAATGTCTGTATGGTTCAAAAAAAACCTACTTCTATCGTGTATCACTTTGACACAGCGAAGCATTTCTTTCCAGTGATATTTAATGAAGGACGAGTCGATCTCTGTGCGACGCGTTTTCAAAAATGT